GTCTGTGAACAAATACTACAATAATAAATCACAATATTACTTCTGACGGTTTTCTACTGACTTCTTTCTGAACAGCGACCGATGAGATGATGACTGTCGTATTGATGCCTCCGCGAAAATTGGGGAAGTTGGTTTTGAGCGAACAACCATGAATTGATCGTTCAATCTTCAACTACATTGACACCGACTATGGTACTCTTAAAATTGAAAGTCTTCAGGTTGTGATGACATCAGACCATCCGTCCTGAATCTGTGTTCGGAAAGTCTCTGCCAACCCCTAAGTGATCTGTTCCAACACTCCCTTGATGTGAGAAAACTTCCATGTGAATGGTAACGAGTAATCTATCCCCTATCTTCAAGGGTGGTGTCCGGTAGAATGCGACCAGTTACAGACCAGTTGCTCTACTTCCAGTGATATCGAAGATATTGGAAAGTATCATTGACGACCATATGAGAAAATACTTCGATGGGACTAACCTTCTTCACGAAGCACAGCACGGTTTTAGGAGGGGAAGATCCTGCGTGACGAATCTTCTACTAGCCTGGAACGTCTGGATACTATCCTGGGACGAAAAAGTACCAGTCCATGTGTTCTTTCTCGACTTTGCGAAAGCATTCGACACAGTTCACCATGGTCTGCTCCTTCACAAAATAAGCAAGGCGGGAGTTTCTGGAGCACTTCTCGCATGGCTGACAGATTACTTAGGCGAGAGAGAATTCTGCACCAAAGTCAGCCGCATCCGATCATCCTGGCACACCTCGGCTTCAGGGGTTCCTCAGGGTTCTATCCTAGGGCCGTTGATGTTTTTCATTTTTATCAACGACCTGCCCTCCCAACTAAACTGCTCTGCGCTTCTTTACGGTAACGACGTAAAGATTTGGAGAGCAATGAACTCATCGGAAGACTCAGACAGATTGCAGGCTGACCTGCAAACTATGGGAAACTGGGCTCTGGCTAACGGAATGCCTTTCAACCCAATGAAGTGCAAAGTAGTGCAACTTCATTCCGGCAGGTCACAGAGTGTAAATTACACCCTTGGTGGCCAGAAGGGAGAGTAGTGCTAGCTGATCAGTAGATATGGTGGTGGTCACTAAGGTGAATCGCCCCATTCTGCAGGAACAGCAATACGATATTTGAAGGCTCGAGATATTTCTGATTTTTATGAGGGCTTAGATTTTACCTTGAAAAAGATAATAATGAACGCCTTGACAGATCATGCTTCTACCTATAAATATATACCATTCTCCCAGCCTATTGTTGAGATGCGACCATGTGTGCTCTGCACAGATTTATGGGGCATCTTATTAATTAACTTGCTATCCATTGTCAGATCTTTACGTACCACTTCAAAATGTCTTATCTCATTTATTTTCTAATAACGTCTTTACTTGATCCTCATTTTACTCCATTAAAACTAACATTTTGCAGCTCTTTATGACTTATTATATTCCTACTCTCTGAAGGGTACGGTTGTGCACTAAATGCACGAAAAGGTATAAAACAAAAACAACTGGCACAACTGAGGATAAATGTATTAAAACCAAAAGTGGACATCATGATAGTACGAGATATACGTGTAGCATTATACATTGCAAATGAACGTTGTCAGCCTAGGGAGTTTCCTTTATAAATGCATTTATTAATGATACTTGCAATTACCTATTTCATTACAATTTAACGATTCACCTCAGCACTTTAATTTTTCTAAAACAGACTTCAATCCCTTGTAAAAGTTGTACTTACCTCAATATTGGTTGGTTATCGTATGCATACAACCACGGGATGAAAACGAAACGAAGTCAGTTTTCCCGCTCAACCTGGAGGACAACTGTACAATTCAATAACTATACGGCCTAGTTCAGAAAATGAGTGTATTATATGTATCAAATATTTAACAGTTGAAATATGATTAACTTGTAGACAATCTGAGATTTGAGACTATATCTTACTTGATCGTGCCTGTAAAAAAGGCATGCATTTTCATGTAAGTTTGTAAATCTGTATGAAATACATTATTATTATTATTAACTTGAGTTGAGTTCCGTCAGAGCGCGATCTAGGTCTTATTCTAACAGAAAAGCTAGACACCAGTGGAAATTACACGACGGATATCGCCAGAGCCTACGCAACTTTACACTTTATGCATAGGCTGCTGAGAGCTCTTACTCTCGAGCTGTTCCTAAGGTTATATAAGACATATGTGAGGCCACACCTTGAGGTGCATAATATCATTGCACCTCCGCTACTCAAAAGGGATGATAACATTCTAGAAGGTGTCCAGAGACGAGCGACAAAATGGGTGATCGGCCTCCGCAACAAATCATACGAGGAACGACTAAAGAAATTAGGACTTTTCACACTTAGTTACCGTAGGCACAGGGGAGACCTCATCACAGTCTACCAGATCTTAAATGACCAGGTCCACCCAAATAAAATCATCCTGCCACTAAGTGATTATAGGCTTCCACGAGGTAACCCGCTAAGGATAGCACATCAGAGACCAAAGACTCGGATGCGATCACATCTCTCTTCGCTTCGTGTTTGCCGTCTCTGGAACGCTTTACCGGCGGCCGTGACTACAGAGCCATCTCTGGAGATTTTTAAGCGGAAGCTAGACAATCATGCAGAAATGCAAGGTTTGTGTCTCAATGGCTTATCCTCATAAAACTTAAAACCACACTGTCAATGAATAAGCGTACAAACTAAATCCCCACGACCTATTCTGCCTTCTCTCACTCTATCTTTTCCTTAGGCCACCTTTATTATTCCTCTTATCTCAACCTATATTATCTACACTACAACCTATTATTATTATTACTGTTCTGCTTTTATGACTACACCAAATGACCAACAGGAGTTAGGTCAAACTCCATTCACGGCAGGAACACAGTCCTAACGTACTGCATACTATAGACCATACTATAGACCAGTAGCTCTACTCCCAGTGGTATCAAAAGTACTGGAAAGTATTATTGACGACCACATCAGGGGATATTTCGATAGGACTAATATACTACATGAAGCCCAACATGGTTTCAGAAAAGGCAGATCCTGCGTCACTAACCTACTGTCAGCTTGGGACGACTGGACATCATGCTGGGACTTGAACGTACCAGTCCATGTGGTTTTCCTAGACTTTGAGAAGGCATTTGACACCGTTCACCATGACCTTCTCCTACATAAAACAAACCAGGCAGGCATAGGTGAGCCACTTCTGTCATGGTTGAAGGACTACCTAGCCGACAGGCAATTTTGCACTAAGGTTAACCGAGTCCGATCATCTTGGCACAGATCGTCATCAGGAGTGTCGCAGGGTTCTATCCTAGGACCACTGATGTTTTTGATTTTCATCAATGATCTACCACGCCGTCTGAGCTGCCCGACTCTCCTGTACGCTGACGACGTAAAAATATGGAGGGCGATAAAGTGTCCGGAGGACTCAGATAGGCTACAGGAAGACCTAAACCTTCTGGAAGACTGGGCGGTGGCCAGTGGCATGACTTTCAACTTGAAAAAGTGCAAAGTAGTGAAGTTGCGCACCTGTAGACTGCAGAATGCAAGTTACACCCTGTGCAATGAAAGCTTGTCCTGCACAACGTCGGAACGCGACTTAGGTCTAGTTCTAACGGAAAAAATGGACACAAGCGTAAATTACACAGGGGATGTAGCGAGGGCATATGCGGTCATACACTTTACGCATAGACAGTTAGGTGCACTCACTCCTGAGCTCTTTCTAATGTTGTACAAAACATACGTCAGGCCACACCTTGAGGTGCATAATATTATTGCACCCCCAATGCTGAGAAGAGATGCCAACCTCTTGGAAAGAGTCCAACGACGGGCAACAAAAGGAGTGGTTGGTCTCCGAAACAAACCATATGATGAAAGGCTGAAGAAATTAGGCCTGTTCACACTTAGTTACCGTCGGCTTAGGGGGGATTTGATTACTGCCTACAAAATAACAAATGACCAGAATCACCCAAACAAAGGTGTTCTGCCATTGAGTAGGTATAGGCTCCCACGTGGAAATCCCAGAAGGATAGCTCACCAGAGGGCAAGGACCCGGGTGCGCTCCCACTTCTTTTCACTGCGGGTTTGTCGTCCCTGGAATTCCTTACCGGCAGATGTAGCTATGGCACCGTCTTTGGACGCCTTTAAGCGAAGGCTGGACAACCATGCAGCGATACAAGGACTGCATCCAAATGGCCTATCTCCTTAAAATCGCATTTACCAATCAGGGTAGATAATTAAACTCGTCATTTTACTTCTTTACATTCTCTCCCGTCTTACTCTCCTGACAACTTATTAATATTATAATTACTATTATTATTATTATTACCGATATATATATTATTCTTCAAACTTAATGAGCTGACTGTTGTTACGTTTCCTATTTTCGTTTCTGTCTCTTAGTCTGAATAGCTTCACTAATTATATTTATTATTATTATTATTACTATCTCTTTTCTCTTGTCGACAATACCGAAGGACTAACTGGCGAAAGGATCAACTCCAATCACAGTAGTAACAGTCTTAACATACCTCATACTACAAACCACATATAATTAATCCCAGCACTACTCCCTTTGGAGTCAACCAAAGCTACGACAGTCGAGTGGCGGGACAAGCTACGCAGAAGTTTACCGAAGATCAGGAACCTATACCTTACAATCAAGAAGCGAGCACAAAGAAATCAAATTGGTTTATACTAGCTCGTAAAAACGATATTGGATATTGGATACTACAAACCACATCTCGACCAATCCCCGCACCACTCCTCCTGGAGTCTACCAGAGCTAAAGCAGTCGAGTGGCGGGACTTACTACGCAGAAGCTCACCGAAGATCTGGAACCTCTACCTCACAATCAAGAAGCGAGCTCAAAGAAATCACTGGTTCATACTAGCTCGTAATCAGGATATTGGATATTGGATACTGAAGTTGTAATTGACGCTTTGTAACGAGAACGCGGTGTTTCAAGTGACTGTGTTACTAAGGTCACATGTTGAAGCAGAAGGAAGATGTTCTTCTTATGGCTAAGCATGTCAGGTACAAGAAAGTGGATGGTACGCTTTACGTCAACTCTGGAAGAGTGGCATGGCGTAATCAAACATCTGACAGTTTTCGGATAAGTGCTAAATTTGAGGATATAAGGTTACAGCGAATTAGTCCTGACCAGAAAGAAAAGGTCCAGCTACAGTTACTAATGCACAGTGGTGAATCATTCACATTTCAGTTCTCCGATCCCGGTGGCAGAGAAAAACAATTGGAAATGCGCAACAACGTCAAGACAATGCTACAGAACTTGCTGCCCAAATTTAAAGACAAGGTAAGTTACTTGAAAATAGACTTCCAGTATGAATTCTATGCGTAGCACACTTTATTGTTTTTACCTGTATTTTATCCAATACTTGTCACATAATTGGCTTTGTCGGGAGTGAATACAACTGGTAGGTCGTAGCTAAATTTCATTTTGTTCATATATGTACATGTTTGTGCAGGATACTGTACTACTTCTGACTTTTTCGCAGTAAATCCTACTTTTGGAGAAAGCTTATTTTATAATTGGGTCCCCGTTGACACTTATATATATATCACAGGCTTCAATTGAAGCCTGCTTAAGCGGCCGCTTAAGCGGCATTGAATTAACATAGAATTTTCGAGCTAATTGTCATTTCTCCTCCAAAGGGGTCAGCAACTGCGACTCCCTGATGAAATGTTTTGGTGAAATAAATGGAACTTCACAGGAAATACCAAATGATCTTCGCTAAACTGGTATGCTTTTTCGACACCTATGGTGTCACATGATTGTTACCGACTAATTGATTATCAAAAACAAGATATGTAATACCGTGAATTATATGATGTCGCGAACATGTGGTCGTTTTTCTGGTGCATCACGTCGAGGTTGAAATCGCTGGTTTCTGAAACTCATCAACTTCCGACCTAGGTGCTGACATATATTGATATTATTAGGCAAGTATCTTTCTGACTGAGATTTAGCGTTGAACTTTGCACAGAAGGTTGACAAACTCCAATTAGTACATAAATGCAATGTGAAGGGGAAGGACTAAAAAACTAATGAATAGAAATATACGGCAGAAACAAAAATTAATGTGGAGAATAATGAGAATTTAATGGCTATATGAGAGTGAATACGTCTGCTCCACTGGGAACTGTTATGAACCATACCACCAGTAGGCTCCAGCCACAAGTCTCTAGCATTAGGAGAATCCCAACCAGTTAGTCCCCACCCTCGAACCTAATGTCAAAGACTTCAGGGACTTGTGCAGGGTTTTGGCTTGACAATCTTTTCCAACATCGGCAGGTCAGCTCTGTCGTCTTCGCTTTGAAGAGGCGAAGTTAGAAAAGGTAGACCCCGAAAATTGTACATCTTGACTTTGTGCCACTCTGTAGCCAACGCTAAGACCGTAATACGGATGTAACTCAGGACCACCACTTCAGACTCGTGTGTGATTGACCTCAAATAGTCGCACCCTCGACTTTACGCTAATGTAACACTAAAGCTCTCGTTTCAGGCACCCAAAGGAGATACCAATTTCCATGGTATGGGCAGTCCTGCACACTTCCAAAAGCACACTAAAATTTTCTACTCATCACCTTCATCTCCATCATTTACACCATCTTGCTTTCTTCCTACTGTCAGTACTATCCAATAAGCAATAAGCTCATTTCTTAACTTTGCAACCACTCCTAGCGGTGAGCCCATAAAACACTACTGACAGCCTCTTAAAAGCTCAATGCCAACTTCCTTTTGTAACATTCAATATCAGAACCCTTCTCTAAAGCCAGCAACAGACTGTACTAGCCAGAAGTCCGACATCTTGTACCATGTATGTATTTTGTTTGAACATAGGGTAAATTTGCAAAGTCACCTTATGGTTGTCACGTAATTCTTCGGCTGGTTCATGAGGACTCGTGGGTGAGGGTACAATATTGATTGTTAAGTAAGAAAATCCCGTACTTAACTGGGTCTCAGTCGGACTGAACGGCTCCGTTAGGAGGGTAGGTCACGACACCTGTCGACGTCTATTCGTAGTTTCTGCCTACGTCACAACAGACTGCCTTTCGGAAGAAATAAAGGATGAGTTCTGTCAGAAGCTGCATAGTTTTCTGCTAAAATCAAAACGCTCAGGTATCGTCGGTTTAGCAAGCTACTTCAATATTCGAGTAGGGAAGTGATTCAGAGAAGTAAGTTGGTGGCACCTTTAGAGTTTTATGCTGACAAACTTGTAGCGGTGGTCGTCTTCTACAGAAAATCACCTTTTCGTAGTCAGCGTTAACTGTGAACACAAAGAAAGTTTGGTGGCGATTGCCTAACGTGCTGACCTCCGCCATCAAATCAAAGTTAGGCTCAAACATATCGCATAGCTGTTAGCTATCGATGGAGGTCAGTAAAAGATAATTGCTCCTCCTGGGATGATTGTGAGGACTGATGACGCTTTTGAATGACTGGACATACAGAACAGGCGATAATGAAGCTGTTAAGCTATCAACTTTGTGAAGACACCGTCTGTTTAAGTGAAAAATTGCTAATCGAGTATCTTAGATTGACCGCAAGGCTCATCCTTAAAAAGTCAGGCAGTCTTGTGTGAAATTCTATGCTGTAACTCAGACGGCTTTACAGTTGACCATCATCCATCTTCATCCCCATTGAGATATCGGTTCTGTAGCTTATATATGGAGTGTTATAATTGTTCTTATTTGCGTTTTTCTGCATTTTGATGTACACCAGATTCAACGGACGGAAATTTGTTTAATTGGCTTGGATATTGTGATAAAAAAATCATGTAGGATGATGCGATGATTATATGCTCAGCGAAAACGACAACTTTATCCAGTCTGACAGAACCGGGGATCACTTTTGCCTTGCTATGTAGGCAGATAGAAACAGCCTCTGTATTTTGATCCTCGAATAAACGACTAAAAACACGTAATACGTCTCTGGAACTATCGAACGCATAGCCCTTTGTAGTTTTCAAGAAAGACGTTAATCTAGATGTAGTATGTCGTAACTATAAACAGATGACAACACTAAAAACGAAAGGAAATCTCAGACAGGACTGTGAATTTAAAAACTTAAACACTTAACTTAATGTGCGTCGGTGGCACAGCGGTTAGGACTCTCGGTGGTCGTGCACATCGTCCGGAGTTCGATCCTCTGTCGACGCACACCTGATATCTATGGTCGGCCTGCAAAATTTGGGCTACCGATATCACATGCTAAAAATTCCATACTTGTACCAAAAATACGGTGTGGAATCAAGCTGTAATTAAAAAATACAATGAGAACAAAGAAAAGCTGCTTTTGTGAAAACATAAACATAAAAAATGTATTAATGCCAGTAAAAAGTTTGGGGACCGTATGTTAACTATTGAAATATGATTATAATTTGTCTTACAAATGTAGTTCTTAACTTAATGGGTGTTTGTCAATACGTCAAATCCGGGAATATCAGCTCATTTATAAGCTCATGGTTTTGGCTGATAAGATGTAGGTCCATCTATAGATTCTTTTGTCACCACTGCAGCATTGTGTATGTGTTTACGCACTAAATAGTTGAGCTTAATTGTGCGTCGGCGGCACAGCAGTTAGGACTCTCACCGACCATGAACATGGTTTGGAGTTTCGATCCCCTGTTGACGCACATCTGATACCGATCCAATGGTCGGCCTGCAAAATTGGGGCTGCCGATATCACATGCTGAAAATTCCATACTTGTACCAAAATATGGTGTGAAATCGAGCTCTAATAAAAAAATATATTAGAAATTTTGCCCTATCGTTAAGCATCAGCATCTTTTATGAGGCTGACTAATTTCCAGAGGGAACAGAAAAAGCTTGTTTGATTTCCATCCAATGGCCTAGTTTATAGTTCAGGTAAGATATGTGGTTTCTTTGTGAAAGCCCATCACACTACTCAGAAGAATGTTTTTAATCAATATTTCTGTCCAATCTCTGTTGACGTTTGGCTGAACCATCACTTAAGCGTCGCATAAGTCTTGGACATTAAGGCTAATTAAACAGTTTACACTTCCATCCTTGGACTGTATGTGAAAGTATCACAAATATGTACCGACTATTTATTTTAATATGGTTTGGTTGGAGGAATTTGTATTATTCTTATGGGAAGTGGAGTGTGGTCAAACTAAGATGTAATACAAATCCTTAAAGTCACTGACTATTCGTCTCAGCTGTAAGTTGGCTGTCTGGGGTGCACATGGTAACACAGACTTTTGGTTACAGACTCTCGGTGATCTGTCGCAGGATCGATTGCAGGTGTATTCATGCTTTGTCCTTATACTATTCCAAAGCATATTATTCCCTTCAGTTACATAGTTTTCCTTCCACCGTTTCCATTTCCATCTTTTGCATAATGCGCAGATATAAAGTGAGAAGTTGGACTACTATACAATAATTTGATATTTTATGTTGAAAATCTCTCTGTTAGTTCTTCCTGCTCTTAAGCCGGGAAACTAAAGTACCTCGATTTATATGGGACAGTATTAGAAAGTTGGGATTTTAAGTTGAATTCACGCATTGCAGTGGCTGTTTCTCCTATTTCCAAGCTAGTATTTTTTATCTGTTGTCCTGCAGATTCGAATGAGTATGGAAGAAACAGGAATTATATATTCTTTTATTAACATGCTATGTTTTTCCCTCTTTCAATTCAGTTAGGTCAATTATGGTATTTTGCGCTTAACTATTTTATTCATGGTTTTCACTAAGGTGTGTTGCTTCTTACACAGTTTTCTCCAACTTGGACTCCTTATACTTTGAGTTGATTACTCACTGATCGTGTGTTTTAAACTTTGCATTACACTGTTTTAAAGGCTCAGGCAGAATTGAAGGAAAAATTCCGACTTCTAGAATCCAATCCTGAAATTTTGGCATTATACAAAGAGTTGGTAGTCAGTGGTATTCTTAGTTCTGAAGAGTTCTGGGCTCGACCAGAGTTTTCACACAGTAGTAACAGTTCATCAAAATGCTCCAGTAATGTCAAAACTAATTCCAAAGTCCCACCAGCTGCAACAACAACAGCATCAGAAACAGTCGGAAGTAACACATCTGAGGTGTCAAACACCATTCCTTCAAACGGTCCTACCAGTCAAATTTCTCGCAGTTTTCATTTGGATGAACGACCTCAAGTTGTTGGAGTCCCCAGCTGCCTTTTGAGTGATATTAAACCTGAAGCAGATGGTGCTAATGGGATAAAATACAATCTTACTCATGATACTATAGATGCTATTTTTCGGGCTTATCCTTCTGTCCGAGAAAAACATAGAGAAACAGTACCAGATAAGCTATCGGAAGCTGAATTCTGGATAAAGTTTTTCCAGTCTCACTATTTCCATCGGTAAGTATTGCTTATCACGTTTGCAAACGTTTCAATTTAATTGACACAATCCTTGCAATATGAAAGCGATTTTAACTTTGGTGAAACCATGTTTGACTCACAGAAATAGAAATGTAGACACCTAACAATTTACTGTCAGACCTCTGTCTGTCTGTCTTTTGTCGACATAGAACTTTTCACATATGTGCGGCAGTTCAAGTCGCCACACTCCATGTAGCACACAAAGCAAGAAAAGAAATGCATATTATAGACGGTAAACAGAGGTGTGAGACAAAGGAATAGTAGTAACGAAGAACAAAACAGTTTCATTGGAAATTATAAGTCACAAGGATTGGATGCATGTGTGCCATTGAGAACAATTTTTAGCCATGTCACCAATTGTTTCCAGCCATTGGTTTTTACCGTCCCGAGGACTCAAACATTCGTAGATTGCAGCTCAAGGTGTTCAGAAGACTGTATTTTGTCAGCGTCCTCGCCTAAAAGGACTATATCTTTTGCATATTCTAAGTCAACGAGATTATTCCGTGGTAGCAAGCCAGTCCCTGAGTCGCTGAAGTGAGTTAGGGTTGAGTCCATTAGTAGATCTATGATGAAGTTGAATAGGAATGGGGATAATGGGCATCCCTGACGTACATCACTAGTCATCACCCGTTCAGATGACAATTCGCCATAAGCCCTCACCTGGCTGCTTGAGTTCGAGTAGAGTGCTTTAATCAGTGCAATGTATATTCTCGGCATTCTCTTTACAGCCAAGCATCTCCAGAGAACCTCTCGGTCGACAGAATCGAATGTCGCCTTTAGGTCAAGGAATATAATGATTGTTGGACGCTGTCAGACCTCTAAAGCTATCGGAACTGTTTTGCTTGAAAACACTTAACATTGCTGGGTTACACCGGAAGGAAAAGCCAAAAGTGGCTTGAACGTTAAGTCTTCATAACGAATACAGATAGCGACAGATAACAAGTGATCCAAAAGCAATAGTTCTATGTGTATTTAATATCAGTGAACTGATAGTTAACACTTATTAAACAAGACATATCGTCAGTAACTCGAGGCTGACCGAGATATTGGTAGCGCACTTTAATTAGCAATTTAATTGCATATATTTGCCCATCATAAAATCTCGTCTTGAATAGGACATGTATTTTAACCAGCTAGTTTGTGGAGATGAAGTGTTTTCAATGGACTAGTGTAAACTGATGATTATTATAGTTTATAATTTCGGCATCTGTCTTTGTATATACCTATGAAGTGATAAGCGTGATCGATTCACTTTCGAAAATCCCAAATTTCAGAGTCATTCAAAGGGTCGACAGGATTTCGGGACAACAAGCCTTGTGAAAGTAATTAAGTTTGATGACGACCATCGGCTGTACTGCTAGATAACAAATATATATATATATATATATATATATATATATATATACGGCTATTGGGCGATATTGAATCTTTTTCTCTAGTTCGTCAGATTTGGCACAGTTACTCATCAATGAGTTCAAGTTCCCAGAAGTCACACCAGCACATTCACGTGAGGTCAGCCCTAGTGAAAAGAGTATAGTAATAATAATTTAATTTATCTCGAAAAGTCACGAATTTAAGTGATGGTAAACAAAAAAAATGCAACAATAAGGTCTTACATGCAAAATTTAGATGCATATGTCGCGATGTAGCAGATTCTGAGTAACATTATGGAACTGCCTCAACATAACGTTATTCGGTTGATGGTGGCTTGATAGAACCCAGAGCTCAGCTCCAGTGACTTGTAGTGTTTCTAATGTGATGTGAACCCAGCACCTGTTGTTTCAAACTTCAGTGTTATCTGGTGAGTCATGGGATACACTTGTTTGACAACGGGTATTAGTTATTGTATGAAGTAAATAAGTAGTTGTCAATTAATTAAACATTAACAACTCTATCAAATAGCTTTCGTCAGTTGTTTGTTCTCATCATTTTAAGAACGGTATCTTTTTTCTTGCACAAAAGTTGAAAATTACAGACACCTTTCCTCCCGTCTGCTCTGTCTCCAGATGGCTTAATGAATGAAATATATTAGGAAACTTAGCATGGTTTCGTGAAGAATCGTAGCTGTCTCTTCCATTGACTTAAGCGTGTGGCTTTCAGCCAGTAAGTCCCGAGTTAAATCGTGTCCAACCTATTTTAGAAAAGATAATTTGGTAGTATCGTCAACCCTCCTACATTTATGGCTTGTAGTCTGGTACATACAGAGATCTGAATAATAATCATCTTGATTTCTTATTGTCTCTACAGTGTCACCCAGAGGACACAAGTGGTATTACGAAAATGTTAGCGATTAAATACCTGTAGCTTGCGAAGAGTTGTCATCTGAAGTGATGGTAATCAGTTATTTACTTCCGCCATATTTGTATTATTGGTTGTAACTGACTTTAGTGACCTAGGGTTGTCTTGTTATCAGAAGACAATCTTCTTGTTTTAGAGTATGTGGATGATGTAGACCCTCTAGGTGATGAGACTGACTGACAAAATGCAGTCTTCTGAACGCCTTGAGCAGAAACTTCCAAATGTTTTGCATGTTATTCGCTCCTGTCATACGTAATATTATGTTGCAGGACTGGACTACATCGACTCCTAGCTTAAAGATAGGGAGTAAAATGGTAGTTTGTTTACCATCTCATTTATTCAGGAAGTTGCATCACCCCCTCCCCCAATAGACTGATCGCAAATGAAATCTTTGCCCAGACGCAAAAGGCTCATGTGACCCTTGCGGACTTACGCCATATCTGATGTGGACATGACACCTGTCTGTTGATTACAGGTTGTGTGTATTGAGCAGCAGTTCGCTCTGTCTTCGTTTATGGTTGTGAGGCATGGCCATTGAAGATGGAAGATATGAAAAGACTAGCTGTGTCTGCATCCTAATTTCTGTGTTAAATGATATAATATGATGAGTAATATTAGGGCTGGGAGTAGTGTTGGGTGAGGAAAGAAAGTTAATCGATGAGGTTGTGAAGCTGTATGCAATGATATGGCTGGGACTTGTGTCACGCATTTCATACCATCATCTTCCCCATCCAGCAATACTAGCCGACATAGGACCAAGTCGACAAGGAGTTAGGGTTGTTCAAACCGAAACCTAGGTGAAAATGGAAAGCCAGTCGTTGAGTTTGTGAAGCTTCATTGATGGAGATGACGAGGGCATGTGTTTCTCAGTCCGAGCCATTGCTTTCTTCGACGAGCGATGTTAGCTAGTGTAGGAGTAGATTTACCATAATGATTTTCTGTTTGCTGATTTTAGTTACGCAGATGTGATCTGTTAATCAGTATTAGTTAATACTGCATGTCACTTGTGTTTTTATTTGACTCTTTTAGCGACCGTGTTCATATGCCGAAAGATGATATATTTGCGGACTGTGCTAAAATGGATGATCGTCTTTTGATGAGTGATATACGCAGGACAAGAGTCAATAAAAATAATGTACACCTTGATTTACTTAATCTTACCGACTATGATATAGGACAAGGTTATGGAACTGATCAAATATCCAGCCAATCAAAAACAAAAGTGATTGACCCAACAAGTTCAAATGGAAACGCAGAGAATACAATAACTGAACCAACACCATGTAAATTATCTGCTAATCAGTTGTTGCTTCGTCGTTTTAACAACCATTCAATACTTGTTTTAAAGTCTCTCGGTTCAAATGAGACATCTCAGGGTTCAAAGGACATCCTGAATTCGTGTCCACTAAAAGACAGTGTATATGTTAAAGAATTGGTAGAAGATCAAAATCCTCCAGAAATCCAGTTGGACTTAACTTGTGTGAGTGACTATTTAGAGGGCCCAACATCAAGTAAAGCAGAAAAAGCAACGAAGTTAGTGGATCCATTATTAGCCCCTCGGCAAACTGATACTTCTGTTTCAAGAGTACAACTAATCAAAGCGCTTAACAAATGTAAAAATTCGTTATTAGAGGCTTATCAGGCTCCAAAAAGACCGCGTTCGTCACTTCTCACCGCAGTTGAATCACAGCAGGCACTGGCAGATGTTTCTCCCGGGGGTTGCCTAATAGGTGGAAAACTTAGTAGTGGCCGTTCAAAAGCGAATGCCTTAACTGGTGATCAATCCTTGCATCTATTTGAGCATGAGTTGAGTAGCCGTATGTCAAATTCCCAGAGGGCTTGTGATGAACACCATGCTGGTGACAGTGTTGATCGAGGCCCACCGTTGCTAAGTTCCGAGCAGGTTCGAGAGCTATCACTTTTGTATTCTAGCGCTGCCGAACTTTTGAGACATTTTTGGGCGTGTTTCCCAGTAACAACACCACAGCTAGCTGAAAAATTGGATCGTGTTGCTGCAAGCTTAGTTCGTTTTCGGACTACTAAGGTAGTCCATTTTGCTGCTAGTGTTGATCCCTCCTTTAGAAGCAACATGGATGATCCTTCTGAAGAATTATCCAATAGAAGAGATCCCAGTGTAATTTCTTACCGGTCGAGTGTCACTAGCCACCTGGAGTCAATGTTAGACGTCGCTCAAAATAAATATTCCGATTGGAAAAATCGACATCAATAGCAATGTAAATATACTTGTACAGATATAACTTTAGGATTATTTTTAAATTCTTTTTGTGTAATCACAGCTTTTAAACACTTATTGGTAGATTGTATATACTTGAATATATATTGTAATTACATTCAGTAGAGCCGTTTATAAATTAATCGTAAATTGTATTGTTTCTCTTTGTGCAGAATTTGCTGTTTCGTTTCTGGCATAGCGTTATTATTGTGCAGGCCTCAGAATTTGCTTCATTCCTGCTTGTCTCTTGTGTTTTACACATATAATTCTTTAAATTAAGTACAGGAGAATGTTTACATATATTCAGAAAATGGTGGGCACATGGATAAACTCAGACCTACTGTAGTTGGGGTTACATTAATCCTTTATTTTAGTGATCTTGATCCTCCTCATCTGAGTAATGCAAGTGTCGTATTGATAGAATGAATCTTTGTAGTTCTAAGAAACTATGTGTTACAGGAGTAACAAGGGGGAAGTACTACACTTAGCTGTTATTTTCCTAAAATAGATTGCATTGCAATCTTATTTATCGTTACTTCCGACTTTTTTATGACATTATCCCCGAAAAAGGCATTATTTGCACGGTTCCACTTCATTACCTTTACCACTAGTCTAATTGACCGGTCATCTAATACGTAACTGCTATTTCTTTTAAATAATAATCATAGCTTTATTCCAAACAGTACTTTTGGTACTAATATGGAATTTTCAGCATATAATACATTACTGCATCTAGTTTTCTCATTACAGTGGCAATAATTGAAATAGGGCATTTACATTAAGAATAATTTTCATCTTTGAATATTGTTCCATAAGAAATGAATATAAAATTAAGTAAAGTGAAAATATTAATGACGATATAACAATGAGATTAAAAAATGCCGTTTACTCAGAGTTTCTCGGTAAGTTGGTAATTTGATGTCTTACACTTTTCTCATCGAATAAAATATGTGCTAAATAAGATGTTGTGGGTTTATTTTTACTTAATCGTCCGAGCATACAGTCCTCTTTAATTGCTTCTAGTTCTACCCGATGAGATGCAAGGAGAGATTTTTGTATGGAGAGGATGTTCAGAGTCTCACAGGATAATTTTGGTAATTTCTTGCAGGAATCCAAGTGTCTGTCTACAATAGTTGTAACGAGTTAGTTTAGAAATACCCCACTGGCCCTACTGAGGGCTTTTAGCATCCTTCTCAGTATAACAAAGTCTTCCTTAAGTAGCTGGGGAAAATTTAGGGAGAATAGTAAAGAATTATAGGCAGAATACAAGAATTAACAAATGGTAACAGTAGAGACAGAATGATGTCAGACCATCTTAATTTCATTACATAGAACGTCAAACGAAATATCTTTCTGGAAGCTAACATGATGTGAGAAGACCAGGAAAGATCAGAGGAAGTACACGGTCCATGGTATTTAACATTCGATTTAATTTCACGGCCATCTATGATAGTGAAACCGTGCGAACTGACCAGTTAACGTTAGTCGCGCCTCCATCTGGAAGTGAAATTAACCGTCTGACATTTGGAGAGATTAAGCTTAAGACCATTCGACGAGGACCACTGACTAATTTCTGATAAAAAGTTATTCATTTTGGAACAGTCTAACTGAGAAGTAAAAGGTATAAAAACATTCAGATCATCGGCATACTTAACAAAATTAACTTCGCCAGAATGAGTCAAGTCATGTAAGAAGAAAGGGATCAGAAGGTGGTTGAAGAACACCAGGTAAACTAAGTAGTGGAGAATTTCCCATTGTAAACAGTGTACTGCCTCCCTATCAGAAAAATGAGAATACAACCACTCGGTAGTCCGGGACTGTGCTTGTGTCTCAGCAAGCCTGTTTAACAGAAGGGGCCTAGGTACAGAGTCGAAGGCAGATGTGTAATACAGGAAGGCACACCGAACAGATTTGGCACCTGTGTCTAAACTGCAGACAAGATTATGATATAAGTACACCTACTATGTTTATAAGCAAATTGATTAGGGTCTTTAAAAGCCTTCATTTAAGTTTCAAGGCTAAGTAAAAGCAGTCTTTCCATTCTTTTAAAAAAAGGTGAAGTAATGGCGATAGGTCCGAACTTAACAGTTGGTCCTTTTGATAATTTAGGCACAGGAACAGTTTTAATGTCCTCCCAAAAAGCAGGTAGAGTGTTACTGGAAAATGACTTGTTGAAAATACCAGTGGGAAGATGACATAAAATATCGCCACATTTATTGAGTAACGGATTAGCTTACTATTTTTTGTCTTTTTTCCTTAGGTTTAGCCCACGTAACCAGCCAGTGTAGTGCAATGGGTATTCACTACCACATAACTGCACGTGAATAATTGTTTCTCTGAATGTATAACGTTGAAAATGATCTCACTAATGATACAGTGAAGTATACTGTCGAATTGATAGTTTTTGTGTCAAAGTGTGTGTTTGCGGAAGTTATGTCCCTTCGGAGTAGGAAATATGGAAGAATTACGAGAGTTTGGTAATAATTATTTTTAGTAATCAACGTATTATTGGTTATAGAGTGTAGGGCAGTAGATGCGATAGTAAATATTCAGCACATAAGGTGGCATGGCATATTCATGCTCATAACGATCCATAACTTTGCTCAATGCCTGATTACGACTTCTATGGCTTTAGGCTGGTCATATGGAATCACTTACAAAAATCATGAGTCATTTTTTATTCATCTAAACCATGTAGATAAATGTGTTTCGTTCTCAGGAGTGTTAAAGGCCAATATTTTAACACTTTCGATGAAATGGATGAAAACTGTACGCAGTAGCGCAGATGTTTTCATCATTTGTCTTTAAGATTTCTATTTTACTTAAATTTCCTTCCTTTTTGCGTGTTGTTCCTAAGTGTGGTGACTTGAAGCAGTACACCTCCGCGCAATATTCTACGTTTGTCTGTTAATCAGATATAGCGTATATTGTCTTAGACTTTGTAAACAGACAGCATTTTTTTCACTACGAACTATGACCAAGATTTGGACAGATGGTTCCAAAATAATTGAACGCCAAGTGAAAAGTAGACACATGTAAGAACTATGTTTGTATAAATCTCAGCGAAACTGGCAATGCTCATTCATAAATTGATTCGATACTTCGCTAGTTAGTATTACAAATTAATACATCCAATACCTTTTTGCTGTCGTTGACCTTTTTGTGTCAAATAATCCAACGTACTGTTACAATTGTATCTTTGTTTTGTCAGGTATCTTGGGTGGTTAGTAGATATTTTGTATTTACATCACAACGTCAGGAGTGTATTACGGTAAATTCATATATCAAGCGCACACGTCAAGACAAAAAAGCAGTAGAAGCATGCAGTATGCAATACTTGTTGATTATCCATACTGTATCATATCATTACTGATTTCTCACACCTCACTACATGTGCGTCGGTGGCACAATGGTTAGGACTCTCGCCGACCACGCACATGGTCCGAGATTCGATTCCCTGCCGACTCACATCTGATATCTATGGTCGGCCTGCAAAATTTGGCCTACCGATATCCATGCTGAAAATTCCATACTTGTACCAAAAATACGGTGTGGAATCAAGCTGTAATCAGAATTAATAAAAATGTGAACCTTGTTTGAATCAGTCGTATGTAACATAAATTTTGCCAGTTAGGTTGTAATATCTCCTTGTAATATATTTTATGAGAAGTTGGTGAACAGAAACGCAAGTTTAGACAAAAAACTTATCTTATTTGCATTGGTTGTTTAGTAGTATGCACAGTGTGAGTAATCAGTATTCAGATGCAAACGATATTGTAGTAATTTATATATAGCAGGGATTGACTTGCTACGAGGGAATAATCTCGTTGACTTAGAAAATGTAGACGATATAGTCCTTCTAGGCTAGGACGCTGACAAAATACAGAGTCTTCTGCAATCTACGAATGTTTGGCATGCGATTCGCTTCCGCCAAATACAAGATGATGTTACAGGACTGGACCACACTGACCCCTAGTTTGGAAATTGGGAGTGAAGTGGTAGAGCACGTGACCACTTCATTTATTTGGGAAGTACCATCAGTCCCAATGGGTTGATCTCTGATCAAGTCTCAGCACGGATACAGAGGGCTAGTTTCGCATATGCCAGTTTACGCCCTCTCTGGCATAGACATGATATCTGGCTGGCTGTCGGGCGGGTGTACTGCTCAGCAGTCCGCTCCGTCCTCCTCTATGGCTGTGAGCGAGACCTGGCCATTGAGAGTGGAAGACATGAAAAGAATAGCTGTCTTTGATCATAGGTGCCTGCGCTCTATCTCCCGTGTGAAGTGGTATAACAAGGTGAACAATATAGAAGTTAAGCGTCGAGGGGAGATCAATCGACGAGGTTGTGAAACTGTAACAACAAAAGACAAGGGCCAGGCAACAGATCGTTTATTAAAAAAACCAACACGTATTTATATATTTTCATGTACATTATTATAGATTATTTAAGTAAACAAACACAGTCTTCTGATTAGTTGTTTCTTACTGAAAGTTAATCTTTCATCTCTTTGTGGCTGTTTCTTGAATGTCAGATCATCTATATGTCAACTGTATCCGCCTACGCAAAGTCTGCTGTGATTGGTTGTTGAATCAGTCTTGTTCATATTTTCTCACGACCAATATCGGGGACGTAAACATTGACGTAAATAATTGTCTACCAATTTGGCTAGCAGCCTGCTATCACCACAAAATTACATCGACTGAGATGGTTAGGACATGTGTTACGTATGCCTAGTCATCGCCTTCCTCGACGGGCAATGTTAGCTGATATAGGGTCAGGCTGGAAAAGAGCTAGCGGCGATCAAACCAAAACATGGCTTCATTAGTCAATGAATTTCACACCAGTTAGTTTAAGCCAGTCACGTAGGAAGTTGTAGACTTCCTGGTTGGAGTCCTCGGAACGGTAAAATCCAATGGTTGGAAACAATTGGTGATATGGCTCTAAGTGATCGTTCTCAATGGCTGGTGCAGATGCATCCACTCCTTGTGACTTAT